AATTATACTAGTTTATTTACAAAATTTGCATACATTGTTTTCCAGAACAGATTCTTACACCCTCAACCCACTTGCCCATCAGATTATACAACTCTCTTGCACTGTTTTGCAGTCCCAACGGTTACACTGTCAACTCCATCTTTTTGTTATTGGGTGCAGTCTAGTACAACTCACAGCGACTCTATGGACAGCACACTTGAATTCTGTCCTACCTTGTGTAATCCTCATCACCTCTGACACATTTGAGCCCTTGACTGCAGTCACTGTGTCAATTCATCTCATTGAGGGTCTTCCTCTCTTTTGTTGACCCTCCGCCTTTTCAAGCATGATGTCCCTTTCCAAGGAGTGACCTCTCTGAGCAACATGCTCAAAGCCTTGCCTCCAAGGAGCACTCCAGCTGCACTTTTCCCAAGACATAGTCTCTTCTGACATCCATTTTATTATTATTTTTCTTTCTCCTCTGTCTTTGTAGTTATTTTTTGCTCTCTTCATGGTTGATATCATTGATGGCATTCCACAGTTCCACTGGTCTTCAATAATTGGTGTTCAATGCATCAAGGATGTGTCACAGCCAGTGAGACTGGCTCAGGATAGGGCAGGGTTCAGAGCTTTGTACATAGGGTCACAATGAGTCACAGGGACCTTGATGGGGACATACCACCACCACCACCACCACCACCACAACAACAACAACAACTTTGTTTTATATTCTCGAATTTCCTTTTGACATTTTCTGTCCAGCTCTCTTTTTTCTTCTTCTTTCTTTCTTGTTATGTACCTTCAAATCAGATCTTTCTCCAGCAGAGCATCAGATAAAACAAAACAAAACAAACCCACCAAAAAACAAAACGCCTTTGGGATTGCAGTGTAGCTTCTTGCCACTAGGACACCAGAGCTCACTATGTCCAGCTCTCTTACTTCAGAATTTCTTCTCTTTGTTTGACCTATTTATGTTGTCGCTTAAGTTTCAGAGTCTTTTCTGCATTTATTTTGGTCTTTTTCCCTTTTTCCTCTGTCTTTGTTTTCTTTGTAGCCTTTTGCTTTCTTCATAGATGATATCCTTAACATCATCCCACAACTCATCTGATTTATCATTGTCAATGTTTGATGTAGGAGTGTTCCACTACTTGTCTGCAAGTTTGCTGTACTGTGGTGGTTTACACGTTTCTGTGACAATTGGAAGTTCCCTTTGCAGTATTTCAATGCTAGTAGGGGCACCCATGCTAGACAGGTTTCAGCAGAACTTCCAGATTAAGACAACCTAAGAAATAGAACTGGCCATCCACTTTTGAAAAACAGGCCTTCAAGAACTTGGCAAATAATGGAACTTTTAAAAAATATAGTATTAGAAAAATGAGCTCTGATAGTTGGAATGCATTCAGAATGTGACTGGAGAAGACCTGGGTCCTTCAAGCAGTCTACCTTTGTCTAGTAATCTAGATATGTAGGGAATAAAACTTTCATGCAATGAAGGACCTTTATTTGCTGACATGGCAAGACTCATAATTGGGAGAAACAACAGCAAGTATCCATCAGTAGTTGGAATGTGGAATGAATGAATCTAAGTGTCAGGCCCAGACCAAGGTCAAAGGGAGAACAAAGGATTCAAGGAAAGTCAACATGTCAACAAAGGGAATGAACCATGGAGTGTCCCTCTCTTCCCTTCCTAGAGGACCACTCACCTGCCTAAACCACAACAGAATGTCCCTCCCTTCTCTCCCTAAAGATCCTTACTATAAAACCTGCCCTAATCCAGTTTAGGGTGCGGTATTTTCCTGGTCTCTCCCTCTGCCTGTTTCTCTGCAGACCAAGGAATCCCACCTGGGAGACCCCTTAATAAAGCTTCTTTAGCATTTTTTTCTTCCTCTGGTCCCTTCCTTGGCCTTATGTGCAGTGCAAAGACCTAACACTAAGAAAGTTGGAAGTTGTTGAAAATGAAATGGAATGCATGAAATACTAAAATCCTAAGCATTAGGGGGCTGAAATGGACCAGTTGTTGTTGTTGTTGTTGTTGTATGCCATCGAGCCGCTTGTAATTCATAGTGAACCTACGTACAACCCTAAACCCTGCTCTATCCTGTGCCAATCGCACTGCTTCTGACACACCCATCCTGATTACCCCAGTCACTGAATCAATCCACCTCAT